CATACAAAGTTAATGAAATATACAATAAGCAGCTATATTTTGGGGTTCTGAGGGTTAAAACTGTCCCTCAGCTCTTGAGATGTGGCTCATGAGCTAAGAACTGTTAGCTTTTGATGCCGGCTTTCACGAGCAGCTCCGCTTTGTTTTCATGTAATCTGTGTTTATTCTCATCAGTATTCTCCTGTTCTTGCTTTCGCTCCGTTTACCTCCATCTCATTTTCTAACTTGTCAGTGATGCATTGCACTTTCTCAGCAATTACACAAACGAGTCTTTTGGCTGCAGAAATGAGAATCAAACCAACATGTTCGCTGTGTTCTGTACGAAAGAAATGACGCTTGAGAAAACACTTACCATTAAGTTGCTCTTTAGCACCACAATAGGCCTTAATTAGCAGTCAAACTGCCTGCAGTGTGTTTTGGATGACGGCTGTCGTGCATCCGTCCATAAAGATCAACTTGGTGCTAAATGTTGCCAAATCCGTGCTTCTACTGTTTTGCTTGTGTTCATTTGTCTTAAATGAACAGGATTCCATCTTCTTCGACTTGTCTGCTGTCGTCTCCTCTCCTGCTCTTTGATTTTGCAGCCTTGTTTTACTGACCTTGTTTCGCTGCAATGAAATCGATCCTTAACGCTGTGCTGTAGAGCCCCGAATAACAAAGAACTTTGATGAAAAAACGACGACACCGACTCCCTCTCAGCATTTCTGTCGTAAACGAATCAGCTGTCGGACTTGATTGGCATTCTGACAAGGAGTCGCTGATCAAGAAATCATTATTGATACTCCTTTAGAATCACCTGTTAACCCTGCTTCTGCTTATTTACTTAATCAAGCAATAAGTTGAACACAAACAGCAACATAATCTAACTGTGTTTTTCTGTTTTTACTCTCTCCTGTTTGTAAATCTCTCCCAATATATCCTTCATCATCCTCTTCCCCTCCCATCCAACTCTCACTTTTGTTATTTCCTCGCTCCACTTGTGTCCCCGTCGTCCTCTTCTTTGCGCCCTTCCCCTCTCCTTCGCCACGATGCCTCCCGCCCGTATCGACTCTCCTTCCACGCAGGAGTTCGATAAGCCTCAGGAGGACCTGCTCAGGCATCACGCCAGCATCAGCGAGCTGAAGAGGAACTTCATGGAGGCCGTCCCGGAGACCAAGCCCAGCGAGTGGGACAAGCGTCTGTCCACGCACTCCCCGTTCCGCACCCTGGGCATCAACGGCCAGCCGCTGCCCAGCGCAGATGGGGTAAGTCTTTGGGTGAATTTAGTCAGAATTGTGGTAAATCAATCAAATTAAATGTTATGACTATACTAAAGCGAGCAGAGATTTAGTATGGAACAGAAGAACCTGACCCTTCTTGTGTTTGAGAATTTAAAAAACAAAAAGTTGCTTTGAATGGTGAAAGTGGTTTTGTAATTATCGCATAAAGAAACCGATAGAGGAGGGACTCAGGCTCTTCCAGCTGTCATTCCTGGTTCTCTGACAGTCTGAACGTTGTGTCTGCATGTACAAGTCCTGTTCAAGGCGATGGCATGTGGTATGCAGCACATGCATGTGTATGAAGAATGCCGCTGGACTTGTTGAATAGGGTCTGTTCTGTCACTTAAAAGACCGAGGCATCTTCGGGGCAGGTCTTTGGTCTGGCTCTTACCTGCATCAGATGCCGCTGATCCCTGACATGTTGCATGACTGACTTCGACCTGACTTTTGAGTATTTACTGCATGACTAAAAGACTTTCATGAAGTCTTGCACGTTCCTGACACTGAGCAGAGTTTCCCTCTTTTCCCTCCTCTCCTCCATCCCTCCTTCATTGTTCTTTTTTTCCCCCTCCTCCCCTTTACTCACTTTCTTTCCATGTTGCTTTCACCCTTTCGTTTGGCTGCTGCTTCCTCTGAGCATTGGTTGTTTTTCTATGAAGAGACAAGGCCTCATTCACAGTTGTATCAGCAATCACTGTAGTTCACAATAACACAGATGATTCTAGTACTAATACGATGTTGCCTTTATTAGTTGTAGTTCCAATGCTTTGTATGGAAGCCCTTCAGTGAAGTTCAATTCCAGTCCAGTTGTGCAGCTGCGGCGGCATGAATAAACGAGTGGAATCTGCTGAGGGTCACTTTGCACGCTTTTTTTGCATCGAGTGCTTCGTGATTGCTTGGACACGAAGCACTTTTACATTTGGAGACTAATGCCGCCAAACGCATCACATTGTCAGGATGCATTAGGGTCGAAATCAAAGCAAAACTAACGGACAGCTTCCAGTGAGGACGTGAAACAGAATAAACAATGCTTGCTGTTGGCCGTCAGCAACGCGGCACTGCTTTATGATTCTGTTTCACCTTCAGTCGAAGCAGATTTTTACTGACGAAAGTCTGACAACTCACTGCTGTCAGAGACGTTCATGTTCGCTGCACGAAATGTTGTTTTTGACTGAATTGGTTCTTAGGAACTAAAAATGAAAGAGGTGATTAAACATAAGCTGCAGCCAGGGTTTAGTTAAGATTTGTGATTGTTTAGGGAGGTTGGAGGTCACATAGACTTCTTTACTTCTGTTATTTTAAATGTTTTATGACACGTGTCTCCTATCAGCTGTGTAAATAAAGTTTGGACAAAAAAAATGGTGGTCCCAGAAAATTTCTGAATGGGTTCCAAGTTGCAGTGAGGAGTGCAAAATTTGCAGCTTTTTGACAGGATCTGATTGGTGCAAAAGTTTTGCTTTTGGTGATTTTTTAAAATGACACGTACAATAAAATGATCTGGCTGCAGTACAACAGTTTTAAGCTTAGATGTGGTTCAGTTTTCTGACAGCACCTCACATCACTTGTTTCAAGTACTGTCGGAAAGTTCAAAATCTCACCATTTGTTTTGCAGTTTTTAATATAAAATTATATTAAAACAACATGGCTTTTAAACTCGCCAAAGGGGGTTTTAGGGTTCAGATGACGTTACTGTGTAGTAAATGGTGCAACATCCCTGGATCCTGCTTTAAGCTGTTTATTAAAGTTAAAAAGAAAAGAAGGCAGCATTTAATATTCAACATTTAGGTATCTGAAAGTAGATTCCAAGCTTTGTTTAGTGCTGTATAGCTAAAGGAGACGGAACCTTTATCACAGTTGTTTTTGGGGGGAATTAAATCGCGTCGCTTTTGTTGCTATGCAGCAGATCCAAACAACACTCCACTTAACGAGACAATTTAACATCCTCAAACTGAAATTTCAAGATATTCTGGCTATGCTGGTTATTTGAGCTTGCCGGACAAAAATCTCCAAGACCTACATAGACCTGTCACTTTAATTAAAATCCTGCAAGTGTGGATGATTTACTGTCTTTTCAAAAAAACAAAACAAAAGTGAGTTGTTGGACATGGAAACATACAGAACGCATGTTAAAATGCATGCAACGTTGACATTTCCATGCTCTGGACACAAAGATGGCTGTCAAAATCTTCACAAGTTTATCTTTTTGATAATCAGTAGTTGCACAACTCTGGCTTAGATAGTTGTGGGTCATTGCAGACTCTACAGTTCTACAGTATCTCCCCTCTCATGTCTTCTTCCTTCCTCCTCCTCCTCCCCCTCAGTTTGTCATCCGCCTCCCGCGCGGCCCCCTGCTCGACTTCTACTCCAAACGCAGCTGAAGGGGCCTCGAGGTCTCGACCTGCGGAAACCTCCCCCCCCTACACAGGTGTGAATGTGAGCCACGGAGACCGCACCTAGTCCATCCACCCATCAACCTCTAGCTTTCTCTTCTCCTGCTCCTTCCTTCCTCCTCCTCCTCCTCCTTCTTTTTGCCTCCTCTGCAACATCACTCCAGCATTCCTCATCTCTCATCCTTCTGCACCACTTGAGAAGCTGCCGGTTTTTTTTTTTTTCCTCCCTGTTGAACAAGACTTTGATTCCTTGTTTCCCCACTTCAGCACAATTCCCCACCTGGTTTCTAAAACCAGAAACAGACCTGTTCTCCAAAGACTGATTAGGACTGGAAATGATAATCAACTGTTTTCTGTGATGTCTGTTGGACTTTGAGGAACCGATACTTCCTAACGGCTGACTTTTATCGAGAGGTTTTTAATGTGTGACCGTATCACTTTGAGCCTGCTTTTATACACGTGTTTGAGGTACGTTTTTATTGTCAGTAGTTTTAGGACAAAGTTGACCACTGTGACTTTTTTTCCACATGAAATATGCACTAGAAAGCAGCAGCAGCAGCAGCAGCAGTCTTGTTTCTGGGGATTTTTATCTATGTTCTTTGTTGCAGTATCATACTTCCTGTGTTGGGAAACCATGAGGCAGCTTTATTGTAATACTTCATGACCTGTTCGTCCTTCACCAGTATTTTTGCAAGGCAGTATGTAGCAGCTGCAAAGAGATTCCTTGTTGCATGACTTTTTGACAATCAAATCTGACCAAAGAATAAAAGCCATTCCATATACAGCTCATATGATTGTTTTTTTTTTCCCTTTCAAGGAGGTGGATTTTGTCATTTAAATCTCAGAATGTCTCTAAATGAATCTACATTGTGTGCAAGTGCATGGTTAGTTGTATAAGTCGTATTTGTAATCCCCCCCACTCTTGAAATTTGAGCACAAGAAAATCCGTTGAGGCTTTTTAAATACCAAGCAGTTGTTTTTGGGTGTTTTTTTCTTTTCTTTTTTTTCTCACTGTGAGCTCATTTTTCATTACATCGTAAAGTCCTGCACCTCTATGAAACAATGCAACCATAGCTAGCAGTAGACAGACCTCAAAAATATATTTTAGGCGTGTATGTCGAAAGGTGTAATACCGTAAATAACAAACAACAAACAAAATTGAGCTTCCATTTACATTTTATTTTACACAAATATATTATAAAACCATTTTTCTCTTCATACTATTGATATTTTATTCTTCACATTATTTATTTATTCATTGAATCTTAGCTTGTTTCCATACTCTGTGTAAACACAGCCTGCAGTTCAGTTCAACTAGAAAATCCCTGAATTTTTGTGGCCTAAGTGTTGGTCACAGCTCAGTTAACGACGGCTTCATCGTTGCACAGAAGAGCTCAGAGTTTTTCTTTTTTTTGCAGAGTGTGGTTACTGCAAATCCTGACATGTAGGATGAAATGATTTTGATGAAATACCACAATCTTGAAGCTTAAATTTTTTTCTCTTTTTACGTTTTTCAGATGGTCACAGATGAGTAATTCAAAAATTGTCTGAAAATCTGTCAATTATTTCTGTTTTTAGACTTTCCAGCTCTGATTTTAACCCCACTGGCTGATTTTGGAGTTACACGGATTAATTCTAATTCACACCAAACTACATTTATTGATACAACATGCAGTACAATCTGTATTCCTTATCCATCTAGACTTGGTCCCCTACTGTAGCTGGTTGAGACTGTGGCCGATGTTATGTTCATGGCCTGCATTGCTTTGTTTAGCCGTGGCCTTAAAACTGAGCTGATTTTGTCATCATCAGATCATTACTGGTATCTGTAGCACCTCATAAACCCTGCACTCTGTGTATAATGTACATAGCTGCATATTACACTGACTCTGAAACCTGATTTTAATGTATGTAATATAATATCAACAGGAGCCCATGATCACATAGTGACTATTTTATTCTTTTTTAGAGCATGTGCATTAGTCCCCTTTGCAATGGTTCAGAGACAAAGCCAGCACACGAGGAAACCAGCAGTAATTTGGGCTTTGCAGGCAAACCCAGTCCCGCTGTGAGCCACAAGAGTGAGCCGGACGCTGTCGAAGCCCACATCGCTCCCATTGAGGAGGAGTCGGGCGAAGAAGAGGTCGTAGTTTTTGACGCGACCTCGGTGCCGGTCGTAGAGGTGGAAATGGCACAGCTGCCTCCTTCCTTTGATCCCTCCTGTAAAGCTTTAGACGAGACGCGGGAGGAAGAAGGATCGTGTCGCGGAGAGTCGGAGGGGGGGATAGCTGGATCTTCCCCAGCTTCCTATTTCTGGAGCGATGGTCCACAGGTCATACGCTGCTTCCAGGTAGCCTCCCGACTCCCTCGAGGGTGGTGCTGATTCTTTTCTCTGCTTGGACATCTTGCTGCCACACTTGCTCACCCCTTTGCAGCACCACGACAAATCAAAACTATAAGTGTGGATTATGCTTTGCGATTGTAACCCAGGATGCTGCAGAGGTGTTGCACAGTGGTGTGCCAAGTTCTTCACCATGGTGACGGGTCGCTGTGACACTAGCACGCTCTTCTCGGCCACAAAAATGTTCACATTCACTTTTTCCTCATCTTTCCAACCCACTTACGCCTTGAAATTTTCACTCTTTTACTTTTGTAATGGTTGGTGGTGGGAAGGGAGGGGGAAAAAACTCTAAGAATAATTTGGTGAGAACAAAGGGCTGTTGGTGAAAATCAAATGGCTAAAGGGAATGCATGGTGTGAAATTTACAAAAAAACATGTTTGCTGTGAGGTGCAAAAGTGCCTGGTTAAACAGCCACTCATGGGGCTATGCTCCCATTCACAGCCCCCTCTGGTGCAGACCCAGACTGTCACCATCACAGCCGCGTCCAACCTCTTATCCAGTGGCATCTCCACCACAGAGGTCCCTATCGTCCCGACCAAGACCTTCACCTATGAGTCTTCAAAGGTAGGGGCTCCAGCACCTGCTCAGCCCAGATCTGTCTCGGCTTTAGACGGCCAGGTTTGGGAGGATCAGGCCCGGAGCTCCAACATGAGCATGAACCTTCCTTGGTGGAAACTCAGAGCTGCGTCACTTAGAAATGATTATTCAGTCTCCCCCCTTTTTTTTTCTTTTTTCTTTGGTGTATTCCCCAGGTGGCAGTTGACGGGACGGACGAGGACAAAGATGGCACAACGGTGTCCCAGACCATTACCTCAGAGACCACCAGCGGTACCACGGTCACCACCACTCACATCTCAAAGGTCTGCAGGACAAACCGTGCTCTCACCTGATTCAGCTTTGTTAATTTTACATGTCACTAAAGCGTGTATTTCTGCCACATACAGGTTGTGAAAAGCGGATCTTCAGAGACTCGTGTGGAGAAGAGAATCGTCATAACTGCAGACTCTGACCACGACCAAGATAAGGTAAAAACCGTATGTACTCATCAGCTGTGACACAACACAGTGTTTGTTCTGAGTTTTGAAGATGCTGCTTCAACATCTGGAGATGGTTAGCTTAGCTTAGCACAAAGACTGGAAAATGGGGAAACGGCTCGACCGTTTCGGTAAAAATGAGTAATCTAACCAAAACACAGGGGTCAGATCAGGATTTGTTTGGACACGACGAAAGAGAAAGTAGAAATAAAGACTGTTTTGAGAGAATAGTTCCTTTTTTTCAAGCTAAAAACTGAATTCCTTTCACTTCTGCTGTCTCAAATTAAACTATGCAAACAGTCATTTACAAAAACAGAAATAATTTTGAAATAGTTTTTATTTTTTGCTGTGACAACAATCCAATAATAGCTCAATCCACTGCAGCAACCTCCAGGCTGAGGAACTGGGTGTTTTCATTTTCAGCCTGTTGCCTCGTTTTTATTTACTGAAGTCATGAGATATGTTATGTGGTTGCTACAATCCTGCAAAGATTGCATTTCAGCAGCCCCGTTATAGTCCACCTACAAGCAAGAAAAACATCTAGTCACTCTCTCGAGGAACTACATTTGATAGAGTCATCCTGAATACGACTGTTTTGTTCCCAATGTTGTTACTGTAGAAACTGAATTTGTGCAGCTCAGCTTTTTACTTTCAGATAAACACTGAGGATAATACACATTATCACAATGAAACGGCAGAAGATTTTAGTAATTAATGTCGCTACTGCTGCTGTGCAGAGCTCCTGTCTGTGTGGATCCATCTAATGTGTGACGCTACAGCTGGTAAATGAAAATCAGACAATATTTTACATTCAGCATGTTGTCTGAAGCGGATTTCTAGATTTGTGTCACACTTGAAAAATGTAAAGCTGAGCTACAGGAAGCCACAGTTTGGATTTCAGGAGGCAGATCTCTCCTGCATTGGGCTCTGCACCTCGAAAGATTATCAGGCATTTACTTGTTTGTTTAATCCAGGGGTGTCAAACTCCGGTCCTCGAGGGCCGCAATCCTGCATGTTTTAGATGTTTCCCTCTTCCAACACACCTGATTCAAATGATCAGCTCATCATCAAGCTCTGCAGAAGTCTGATAACGATCCTGATCATTTGAATCAGGTGTGTTGGAAGAGGGAAACATCTAAAACATGCAGGATTGCGGCCCTCGAGGACCGGATGTCGACACCCCTGGTTTAATCTGTACCAAATGACAGCATAAAAATGTCAACGTGAGGGAGGTGTTGTGCTGTTTCCTGAAGCCAGGCTAGCTGCTTTCCCTATTTCCAGTCGAACCTTCTCATCTGCTGCTGGCTGAAAGTTCATATTTAAAGGATGGTTACAAGCCCAAATCTTTTATTTAACTGAACTATTCTGTCTTCCAATGCAGACGATAATTTAGACTTTGCAGATTTAGATCATATAAATTCTCCGTCTGTCTTGCAGGAGAAGCACGGCGGAGCATCAGCATTGTAACTGAATCACGACCGTCCTCCTTCCTTCTCCACCACCTTGGAAATCCCTTGTGGAGTGCAGCACTCAACACACAGTGACCAGCTCTATTTGCGCACACATATCCCGAAAGAAATATCTCATAAATCTACACCTCAAATGATAACTGACTAGATCAATCTTAGTAGATCCTTTTTCGTTTATTTTTTTTTGTTTTTTTTCAGTTGAGCTCTTCATCGTAGGTAGGGGCTGCACGGCGCTCGGATCAAACGCTCATATCATCCCGTTGTTGTAAAAGCTTAGTTTTATTGCTTCAAAACCAGTCGCGTGATCTCAGTTATGTTTGCTTTTAAATGCTTTTATTTTCCTAGTGGTTTTTATACAAATGTACTGTTTCCATTCTAGCTTAGACAGCACGATCAGCATCTATTCCCTTGGTGCTGCTAGGGGAACGTTAAGACTACATTCAAGGGATCTCTTATCTTTTGTTGTTGTTGTTGTTTACTTGTTTATTTAATTCAGGAGACTTTATCCGCTTTTTTTCTCTTTTTTTTTTTGAAGTGAAATGACATACCTCGCGTTATTATGTGAACAAAGATATTCTGTGCTCAAATCTGGACAGTTTGTTCACATCTCAGGTACTAAAAACTGAAAAAAAAAAAAAAAAAACGACCTAAATCTCCGACCAGCCAAGAACCAGTAGCCTACACATTCTTGTAAATTTTGAACGAAAAAAAATTGATCTATTTTGAAATATTTCTCTATTTTATAGAAGTGATGCTTTTTATAGTATTTGTACAAATTTGAGGTTTTTAAGTTATTCATATCCATCTGCTCATTAAAGTGTAGGTTACCATCGTGCTGTTTACTGAATTTCGAGGTCTCTCTATTCCAAGACCGGTCTTGCCTGACACCCTGAATCGTTCTTATTCGTTTCCTCTCGTAGTCCACCAAGTTTAATAAACTCGTCGCAATTAAGACAGTGGAGTGCTTCCCCTCAGCCCTACGTTTTGTTTCAGTTTTTATAGAATTGCTTTGAACATATTTGGTTGATAAGAAAAGTTTTACAAGCTTTGGTCTGTTTATCTCAGGTTTTGATATTCTTTGTAAGACTTACAGACCTCCATATGATTGTATGAGGAATGTCCATGTATGTATATCCATCTCTATTGTAAATGTACATTTATGTTCAGTCAAGTGAGGTCAATAAATATAAAAGCTTGTCTGTCACGATAACCACACGTGTAAGAGATGAAGGCAGCTGCCCCGGTATATGTGGCTTTTCTCTCACAGGAGCACAAGTTGTCTTTTTCTTTCTTTTTTTTTTTTTTTTACATGTTCTACCATACAGTAATTTATTTGTAAAGTAGGAACTGTTTCATGTGATTTGATGTACTGTGATGTTTCGACACAAGCTGGCTTCCGGGCTTCCACTAGAGATGTCACCGATGTTAAATATTGCATTCGTTATCAACCAAGTTTGTAAAGCCTTTTTAACCACATAGTCGAAGTAGGATGCTCTGTCACTCGCTGTTTTCCTCGTAGAGAAGAAAGCAAATGAATCCCTTTTTAGATAGCATGTTTGTTAGCAAACTTTTTTTTTTTTTCTAACCCAAAAAGAAGCCATTGGTATTGTAGCTACATTGACCGCAATCTTTCCTGGATGGGAGGGGAGGGAGAAAAAAAAGTAGAATTTCACAATAAGAAAAGATAGTTTTTAGACAATGGAAAATATTGTTGCTTTGTGACTTATCCCTGTCTTTTTATGAAAAAAATAAAATCTGCATTATTTTGCATTTTGTCGGGCCGTCAGTCTGTGAAGCACGCAACAGAAGAACACTGAGATCGTGGTAAGAAATAAATATTTAATGCCGTTCGTTTGTCCTATAAGTGAGAGTTGCTGCATGTCGACACCGAGCTCTCTAAACAGGAGAGAAAAAGTCTAATCTAACCACATTGTAATGTAATAATGAAACTACAAATACTATCAGGAAAATAGTTTGTCTACAGAATCAAGCACAGCCACTGGAACAAAGAAAACTGAACAATAATAGGATTTAAATGCAGCATAGGTCCATTTTTTAAGATACTTCCTACCTTTAATTTGGTATTTATTTGTTCTTGGAAATAGCACCTAATCGTATTTACACACTGGCAGAGCACAATCTGAGTACATTCCAACATCTGTTCCTCAGCACACTTCAACACGACTACATACAATTTAACTGTCACAAGTCTCGACTGACTGTTATCACCGATAAGGCAAAACCTGTCCGAGGGCTGGTAGCAAGATTTCCTTTTTACATTCAATCGGCTGCAATTAAACCACAAAGCAAACCCTTCATGATCAGAGTCGAGTCACCTTTCTATGAGAAATGTGAAAAGATGGGACTGACATCAGTTAAGCCTGAACACTGTATCAGGAATGAAGGAATAACGACATGTTTAATATAGAATGACCTGTTCAGCGGCAGGTGTTCGCTAAATGAGAGGAAACGGCTGGATCTGAACACAGAGATGGGTTCGAAGAGCTGTACAGGCATTTATTTGGAATATATAATCCTTTTGTTTCAAACGAGTTGTTACCAACAAAGTCTCTGAGTCCACTGTTTGTGTCAAAGTCGAGGAGTTCTAGCGGATTGTCTTCACTGGGCTCTTGAAACTTGACGCGGCCTGAAGTTGGAGTTGATAAGCCATTGGGTGAATTTTGAAACCATATAGCCTGAAAAAATAAAAAAAAAGAAACACAATCACTTTTTGGACAAAAATGCTTTTCTGAGGTTGCTGTGGCTCAGGTGGTAGAGCGGGTTGTCCTCAAGGTTGGCGGTTCGATCTCCCGCCCCTCCACAGTCGAAGTGTCCTTGGGCAAGACACTGAACCCGAAGTTGTTCCCAATGGCAGGCAGCACCTTGCATGGCAGCTGTGTCGCCATTGGTGTATGAATGTGTGTGTGAATGGGTGAATGAGAAACATTCTAAAGCGCTTGGAGTGCCGCAAAAAGTAGAAAAGCGCTATATAAGTGCAGACCATTTAATAGTATTGTTTTAAATTCACCATGCCAGTGAAACAGTTAGATTTCACATTCAGTACAAACACAAAAGCAAGAAGTTTAAATTGAAAAAAATATAAAAGTAAAATTGTGAAACATTTGCTTCTACACAGGTTCTAGAAATGTTTGAAAAAAAATAACCCACTCCTACTGAGGTGTAAGGTAAATAATAGTAATTACTAATTCGAACGTCCTATATGGTTAAAAAAAAATAAAAAATTGTAATGTTTTTGTGTCTTAAAAACCTATGAAGATGCTTACTGCTGCCTAGCAACTCTTCTCAACTAGATAGCTCATCAGTTTTACAAGCCAGCAACAATTATTATCCATTTTCTACATAGAAACTGAGGAACCATCAGTTGTTGACCGAAAACTTTGTATTATGCTTCCAGGCGAGTCATCCAGAAAGAGCAGCTGCCTCATAGTTCACCAGGTTGATTTACTTCCGCAGAGCTGCTTCTGCTAACTGTCTCAACCACAAAACATCCCATCACATGTTAGACCTCTGTGGAAACTGTAAAGCTAAGAAACATGATTCAGCACAAACAATTCCCAATAAAGCTGTTCTCAGTTACGTAGTTTTCTGTTCCTGTTGTCACTCAACAGAATGAGTAGTGACTAAACTAACCAGCAGTCACTGCAGGGCCACTTTCAAGCTCCTGTTCTGCAGCTAAAATACTGATATTATAAAGAAAAAACAACTGTAGTGCTGTGAAGTTGTTGAGAATTACATTTAAAATGATCCCTCAGAAGAATATGACACACTCATTAACGCCTATCACTGAACAGAGCAGAGACTCTTCTTCCTGAAGGCAGAAGCAGCTCTGCTTCATTTTCAACCTACAGACGCTGCAACTCATTTAGAACAAGGCTAAAACCAGGGGTTGTACAGTCATCGAGAAATGAACTGTCTTTGCAGTATTTTGATCCAAGACGCATTCTGGGTACACGTGAGACTTGCATTCATTTGCTGAAAAGAGGCGGCGCAATATGGGACCTTTAAAACACCAACAAGTATGTTAAACGAGAGCAACAAATACCTCGGTACGAACTGGTTGGCCGGTCGCTTTGGACGGTACTCTGGGTGCACCATGAACAGCATGTGAGGGAACCCTGTGCCAAAATAAGCTCCATCTGTGTGGTGGTGTCTGGAGGACTTAGGGGTGTACACATCCATGCACTTTGGGCAGTAGAGCTTCACCATTGCTTCTCCTGGGATGTCTGACAAACCTGTATCAGACGAGATAAGACAAGACTTAACCAGGGTCAAAGGTCAAAGGTTTAAGTTAAGAAAAGTCAGACTTACCAATAGGAAGCATTGGCTGGTTCTCACAATAGACTCTGGGGCAATAGCCAAAATCACCTTGCTGATACTTCTCCAGCTACAGAGAACAAAAAAAAAAGGAGAAATTAGCGTTGATCTCGTCGTGATGCACGTCAGACACCGGAATGATTTAGTAATAGCCCACCATTTGTGCAATGCCTCTGTTTGTGAGGATGTATCTTGCATGTATAAGCCCATAAAGCATCTCTGCTGCCTGCTCAATCAGGTCACTTTGGTTTGGGTTATCTTCAAGTTCCTCATCTGCAAAATAAACGCGATTGAGGAAGTTAAACCACTGTACCTAATTGATCCTATTTCAAATGGGAACTGCGACTTTCTACTACGTGAAAATCTCACCTGGCTCAAGGTCGAGGATCATGTCCAGAGCCTGGCGATAGTGAGGCACTTGCTCATTCAAACCTGTCAGGTTAAACTTGTCCTGGATGTAGTCTTCATCAACCTACAACACAGCAGCAGAAGATAATCAAAGGCTATTAATGGCGTTCATTACTGTTGCAGCAGCACATTGCCACAGCACACTGATGTGGGAGCATTACACAAGAGCTTAACGGGATTAGTTAGATGCTGCCAGTGAAGAAAGTAAGGAGTTAAAATTAGAAATGGATTGCGTGAGTGAATCGGACACTGATGCCAACATTAACCACATAAATCCTGGTGTTTTTATTTTAAGTGCTCTTCCTTTCACATGTCTGCTGGAGTGCTGTTTAAGGAAGAAGCTCGCATGTGCTTTGGTGGGAAAGATTAATGGTAAACGGCAGAGGGAAGTGTCCGTAGTCGACAGGTCTTACCTACGAGTCTTAATGTAAGGTCACCAAATAGCACACATTAGTACTTAGAAAAGTGTATTTATTTGCAATTTCATCACTAATAATTTAGATTTTTATGTGCAAAAACATTGAAAGACAATTCAAAGTAAATGCAAATAACAGCAAGAAGGGACATACAGAAACAGATTACCAGACTAACACTGTTAGATAATTACAGCTACAAACAAAAGGTAGAGGCCACCCCCACACAGGCATAGCAGGTAATTAAAACCAGTGTTTCACACAAGGACGAGGCAAACCCTTCACTAGTCTTGCAAGACAGCACGGGGCCAGAGAAGGAAGCAAAATAGCTCAACGCCTACTTTTGTTGTTTTGAAAGTGACAGTCGTGCTCCCATTAACTTGTCCCCCTTGTTTTTTTTTTTCATCTAATCTTACCATCCAAGGTGACATCTTTAAATGCCACATACCACAGTATTGGACAATGATGGAAAACGCTCCAGAAATGTTGTCAACAAAACCCTAGAAAACTAAAGCCTCCCTAAGCTAGTTTGCACGGCCTGATATTTGAATTAAATTAAATTCAACAACACAATCAAAATCTTTGTCCTAACAAACTGAAATCAACAATGAATATTTAATTTACTACCATATAAAAAGCTGTAAATCCTTAAACATGAGCAGCCTGAGCTAGAGCTGAATGATTTGGAGGAAAAAGTACGACCATCACACAAGGAGAGCTGCATTATTTGTGACACTACACAACAGTTTGAACCCTGACTGAGGCTAATAAACAAATGAAAGCTTCTATCTGCTACAAGTAAATTAAATTAAAGCATTTTTAAGAGCCACACCCCATATCCTAAATTGCAGCACTTGCAATTTGCAAATTGATTGAAAAATTAGCTGTTGATGAACTCATTGATTAATCAGATAATCATTTCAGTGACATAGTCTGAATAAGTCTGTGTTGTTGACTGAGGGATATGAGTGACTGTGGGCGGGTGTAAGGTGCAAAGCAGCGGTCTTAGGGAATAAACTGTTGTTCATCCTGGTTATAATTCATGCATCTGTACATCCTGTTGGCACACAAGGTGAAATCCATGAAAGGCAGGCTGTGGTGCAACTTATGCATTGAATATTAGGAGTCTGTTTCTCATTTCTCAAATTAAAGATTGACACAGAAAATGAGGCTAACCTCGCAGAAGAACTCATTCCCTCTGAGTCCACAGAACCAGGATATCCAGGACACCTCCTCTGAACTGCTCATCCTGCTGACAAACCAACACAGAGATGCAGTGAACCTTTTTTTTTTTGCACAGATTGGCTAAAAACACAGCTGAAACTCATTAGTTTGAGCTACAGATGTAACGAGCTAACAATGCTAGTGAGCTAAATTTTACCAAAAGAACAAAACAAAACACGCATATAGCATTTTATTTCTAGCAAACATCCACCAAACTAATACTGACACATCTGAAAAATGTGTGTTTATTGAATTTTTTTGCTTTACGTGGAGTTTTTTTCTCTCTAAGCTGCTAGCTACGTTAGCTCCTGATTAGCTTTCTAGCTAGCGTTCGTGCTAACACATAGCCTCCAGTACAGATAGTGTAGAAATTAGTTATTGTAGCGACAATACGTAATAAAACGCGATGTTGTCTGTGTGTATATGGCTATTAAAGTCGCTTTCACTCACCCGTCTCTGTGTTGATAACACCTAAACTTGTTAGCTTTGCTGGTTTGTCCTCTCCCTGCTCACAACTGCATCCAGGTCAAACGGAAACGTCAAAGTATTGCTCCCCACTGCGCATGTCCCGTACTGACAATTAAATTCCTCAATTATTCTGAATTGAATCATTTGGGGGTCGAGAAAAGTCACTTAAATAACGGTGAGAGTAATATAACACCGTCTGTATTGATGTTGCGTGAACTTCACTAAATCAATTCCTAATTTGCCACCTTTTCTCACAGAACTGAACTGAAATCAGTCAATATACTAAACAACAACAACAAGTTTTAGCAGCACCACACCACCATTTTCTTTCACATTCGTCTTTAATACATTTCCAACAAACTTACAACAACAAGATCTGTGACTGTTCCTCTGTGCCTTTTAAATATGTTGTCAGGTGGTTAAATTGTGGCCTAAGTATATAAAACACAGTGATGTTTTACAGACTATTCTGTTACACATGATGATAGTTCCTATGCAGGCAAGATTTATTATTTAGATTTCATTATTTTGTTAACTAGGAATCTAAAACAATACATATTTTCTAATGATTCAGTTACTTCATAAATATTGCACATTTTACAATATGATTGATTTTTTTTTCCCGCTGACACAAATTTTAAAGCATTTGGAGGATTTTTAAATCTGAATAAAGTTTTTTTTTTTTTTTAAAGAGTAATTTTTAGCTGGTATGGAGCAATTTCTTCAGGGCAGGTCTGAGAAAGTTTTGCGAGGAGGTGGTCCAGCTTCTTTCTGCTCTTGCTCCTTTCCCATCCCTTCAAACATCAAGATCCTAAATCGAAGAAAACCCTGTTAGCCGCTTTATAAGACATCATTTTGAACTTTAGACAGATTTTGACATAGTAGTTGGACATCTTAAATACTTCTTATGGGGTTCTAAGCTGTTTAAGCCATCTTCATTACCAGTCGTCTAATTTCATTTAGGCTTAAGGCCTTCAGCAGCTTCACAGAAATAAAGCACCAGAGTCTCCACCTACAAATTATTTCATACTCACAGCTTTAGAATTGCATTTCTTTTCCCCAGCATCATATTCAGGAAGTCGTGGTAGTTGATAGTCTCCTTTGATGCACCACCGACCGCCTCTGCCATCATCTTCTTCAGCTCTAAATGAGTCTTGGCCAGTCCGAGTTTCTCCAGCATTTGTTTTAATCCCATCATATCTGGAAAATCGATAGTTCACAGAGAGAAAACAAGTTAAAAGACTGCACTTGTGTACAACCTGTGAAGACATCTTGTCATGAGTGAGTCTCAACTGAAAGCAAAAGCTGCTCAGAATACTTTCAGACTGTAAGAGAGGCACAGTTTTACCTATATCTCCTTTGTCGTTCAGATCAAACTCCATGTATTTCTCTGCAAATCAAAGAAATATAATTCCATGAGTTGCGACTGCACACTAGATAATAAAACAATTCACCCCCCTTGAATGCTCACTTTTAAACATTTCAAGCTTCGAGGCCAGGTCTTCCTCTTCTGCATACTGTGAATCTGTGAGAAAAGCCTGAGAATGTGGCAAATAGATGATCGAAATCAATAAATCTCACATCTTGTTATCAGCATAACACAGGTATCATGTTTTTATGTGCATCCCCAGTGTGAAGAAAACTTATTTTAACAGCAACCACGTAAATATCAGTTAGATATCGATAATCAGCTCGACTCACCTCATTGATAGAGTTCAGTTTTTCTTCCTGTTGAGACTTTAGGAGACCAAAAGCTTTACCTCCTGTTGAAAATAAAAACCCAGCTAATCAGACAACAACAGCAACCCATGTACATAAATTATCCACCAAAAAAAAAAATACAGAATACAATGTTTGAAGCTGGTTTTAACTAACCTTGAGCGCTGTTGGCCATTTCTGTGAGCAGTGCTGCGAATATGTGAGACCAACACTGAAAGCTAAGCTGTAAATCGAGCCACAAGGGGAAGTTGAGCGGCAAAGTTTCATTTAGGGCTGGTGAGCTTCCTCTGTTGTATTTAAGGCTGCGGCAAACAGAGGTCAACTGAGATGATGCAAAAAAAAAAAAAGAAATATCACACTTTTAAATTTCACCAGACAGAGAAACACCAATGTTGCACTGCGTAGAGATGCATGCAGGGCGTGTAAAGGCCGATATGGTGTCATTCATATTTACAAAAAAAACTTTACTTTATCTGCAATAGTTAAAATTAGAGCAGCAACAATTATAGATTAGTTGTCAGTGAATAAACTGTTTAGGAACAGTTCTGACAATCTGTTTGAGACATCTGGTAAAGAATTAAAATCTAAAACGTTTGATTCCAGCTTCTTAAATTTGAATAATTTGTAGTTTTTTTTCCTCCTTTATGGGAGTAAACTCAATATCTTTGCGTTGAGACATTTTATTCATAATTAAAGTCTAAAAAAAAATGATTCCAGCTTCATAAATTTGAACAATTTCTGTTTTTTTTCCCTCCTTTATAAGAGAAATCTCAATATCTGTGGGTTGTAGTCAACAACCCATTTAAGGATGTTTTTTTCAGGATCTTTAGCTTTGGGAAACACTTTTTAGACATTTTTCTGACCAAACAAGTAACCAGTTAATTGAGAAGATAATCAGATTGACTGATAATGATTTTAATTGTGACCCCTGCTTAAAATTTAAGCTGAATTTAATGAAGGAAGACGGAGGCAGCAGGTCTGTCTTTTAAAGCAGCAGAAACACTCATTAGTCTGCAGAAATAGCGCGCTTATGAGGCCCAAATTAGACTTTTATTATTCAGGAAATTCACAGAGAGACCTCCACCCAAACCCAAATGTGAGCTCAAGACATAACTCGGATGTGCCGTTGTGATCAAGTGGATGTAGTGTTTGGTTCTCGCCACACGGCGGCACTGCTGGTCACACAGTCAGGTCAACAACAAGAGGGACTTTTGCTGTTAGTTTCAAGTTGATGCTTCTGCATCACTAAAGGAACTGAGAATAGGGGAGATTATCATAAACGTCAAGGAGAGAACGATGTCCTGTCTGTTTGCTCGCTGCGTTTCGCAAACAATGGAGCGATTTTATTTTCAGCTTTGTCTGTTAATTCTCTTAATTGTCATATCAGACTGCAGAGGTGAGTAGGTCGCTGGGTCCTTTTTTTCTTATCAGATGAAAATCATAATGTTTTTATTTTACAGAAGTCAGTAGGCAAAAGGTGCATTCAGTATACTGCAGTTGTAGCTCTGTGATCAGAACTTTAAATCTTGAAATGCGGGCTTTGCTTTTCTGTCATTAATGTCCATATAAATTCTCCTGTTTTTAAAGCTGCCTCACCAGATGTTGAGACTGCGTCAGGGCATCAGGAAGAAGTCGTACGTCTCTCATGCTTTAATTCAAATGTGACGGGTCCAAAGAGCTGCTACAGGGTCAAATTGAAAAAGCATGTCACAAACACCACTCGGATGGAGCTTATGTTCATGTGGCCGAAGAAACGCCAAGATGCTAAACGTGTGAAATGGGAAGCTGATGGAGACGGACGGGGTTGCCTTTATCTGCTAAAGCTACAAAAATCAGACGAAGGACTGTACACATGTGAAATCTGGCAGGGATGGGACATTGTTCTGACCAAAAACGTGTCTTTAAGAGTAAAAGGTAAAAATGATTTCTTCATTTATTTATTTATTTATCTGTTTTTGTTGCAAACTAAACCTGTCTTGTGCATCAAATGATCTTGCAGACTGTAAAGGCCTTCCACCAGTGACTGCAGCACCCAGCACATCTGTTCAGCTCAGCTGCCCAGTGAACGTCACATCAGGGCAGAAAAATGTCTCCTGGGGACTGCAGAAAGGAAACAGCCACGTTACTTTGGACTCTAACAGGGTGAAAATCAACGGCACGTCATTGGCTATCCAGTCTGTGACCACCGGGGACAGCGGTTGGTACAGATGCAGTCACACGTTGGGGAAAACCCAGCGCTGCTTTGTCACCAATCTTCAGGTCCAAGGTCAGATTTTTAACTCTTTCATTTGGTACCATTATAAGCACAAAGACATTTAACACATATGTGCCTTTTCTGTTTCCCTAAAGAAGTGAGAAGCGTTTTCGTGACCACAACAGTTCCGCTTATCACAGCACAATCTCAGCCAGGTCTGTTTGGTTTTAGTCTTTTGCATGCTACATCAATAATCGCCTTTTAATTGTGGAGTTGAGTTTGCTTAAATTTGCCTCCAACCTTCCTCAGCAGTGACGGACATCGAGGTCGCATCGATGAACAGGACAGACGACAGCGGTGAAACTTGGATCGCACTCACGGTCTCCATTGTTTTGGGGCTCATCATAATTGCTGCACTGATCGGATTAGTCATGTACCGCAGATCTAAGAACCGGAGCATCAATTATCGAGACCGCGCCGCAGGTTTGATCTGTCTTTATGCTCTTTCAGGCGTCACACACAAACCCGGAAGTGTTCTCATAGCTCTGTCTTCTCTTACAGAGACTACGGGTGGCTACGAGTGTGTGGATTTCATAGGCTTGCCAGGTTTGTTCATTCATTATTGCTATATTTAGTCCAACCATTACTTTGCTCAACATGTCACTGAGAACGTATTTTTGAATCTCACAGAGTCTGCAAATGTACGGACCAACAGTCTGTACCAAAGTCAGGATGACAGCTTGTACACTTGTAAGTATCTTCATGAAGTCAGAACTGTTCTCACGGAATCAGATTTTAATCCTTATCCTATGAACTCAGGTGTTTTCTCTCCTTTATTGCAGTTCAGTATTAGTCACGTCCCGCCTGCTGAAGAAGAAGAAGATGCTTTTCATCTAATCCAGATGCCTTATGCATTCTGTAAAAATCGGTAATATACAGCCTCTTTCTTATTTTCTTTTATTTTTTTTTTAATATATCTAATCATCTGTATTATGTACAATAAAATAAAGACATGCTTAAAAGTCCAAAAAACCTTTACAAAGGCGACAAATTCAAGGAAAAGCTTCAACCCTTGACCTCATGGGTAAGGGTGGTTTGATGAGTATGAAAATGATGTGAATGAGAAGTTACGGCACAAGTTCCCAATCTATTTAAACCCCTATAGGATTTTTTTTAACCTAAGGTACTAGTCAACGACCTCCACTGTCATCATCCAAACCATAGATATGTATAATAAAGGCTAGATGTCTAAAGGCGGCGTTTGGAACGTGATCACCCTTCGGCCATCTTGATTCAGGGAAGCTCTCTGGTCGAACCGGCAGTACGTGAAGGAAAGTGAGTGATCTGCACGAACGTAAATACTGTTTTCTCGCTGAAATCGTGACGGATTCACAAGCAGTTTGGTTTCTTAAACGTTAACAATTCCAATTACAAAAATACAAATAAATACACCTCTGACGTTTCTAACAAACCAAACTGTTTGAAAATCGGTAGAAAAGTGAGCAAGTTATGGTTATTTAAAAAGTACATGCACCACTACAACACAATGTTATGGGCGAACGAGCAGACTGAACCAAGATGGCCGCCGGTGTGGCCGTGCGATCCCATTGGCCGGCAGCGCGGACGAGACATCTAGCCTTTATTATACATATCTATGATCCAAACACCAAATAAGGGAAAATCCTTTTGAAGAATGCTGTTCTATCTGTAATTCACTTCTTCCTATTGTAAAAAGAATAATAAAAACTTTCCGTCTGGAGTCGTCATGTCTTCAAATATTAATGCACACAAGGAAAATAACATCATTTTATTATTCATGTGAGTAGGATTTCTTATTACAGATATCTATTATTATGACTGGTTGTACTTTTAGACAGCTACGCTTTGAGTCTGACGAACCATAATTCTACCAACTGCAACCTAAGAGTATTGTCATTGTCAAATTATGTGCTGATTTTCTTGATTAATAGATCAGTTGTTTGTTCAAAAAATGCCAATTATTGTTTCTTAAAGCCCAGCATGATGTCCTCAAATGTCATGTTTTGTCCACAGCCCAGAGATTTTCAGTTTACTGTCGCAGAGGAAGAAAGAAACCAGAAAATAATTACGAATATTTATTAAGAAGCTGCAATCAGAGTGTTTTTTGACTTTATTTTTCTCCATAAAAATGACCAAAACCTGTATAACATTTGACAATTAATTTAATAGTTGACAAAAAATCGATTATTCATTGCATCTGTAACCCATTTGTCCTTTTTCGATATCTCAGATTGAACAAGTCAGGAGGTAATGTAGATATCACATTTCATAGCTAGACTGAATGTGTGATATCTATAATTTTGGTCTCCCTAGTTAAAAAAAAACAGTTCAGAAATCCACAATATGATTCTTCCAAGGTCAAATGACATCACTTGCACCATTCGGGGCTTCTCATTAGATATCTACAATGTTTCATCCAGAGCTCCAGACACTTGAAGTTGCATTGAAGCTACTTTAGCAACACTTGGTGGCTCAACACTTTACTAAGACAGCTGATGTCTCTGTATAGGAAGATGCACAATCACGACAAAAGGAGTCATAAACACTGATCTCTGTTTCTGTCTGTTACAAGAAAATATTCTCTCTTAAATACTGGTGTTTAACCGGTGAAATGAAAATTACACACCAGCTTGTGTTGATGTCATGTGGTTGTTTCGCTGTAGTTTATAGACTGCAGCAAATCATAGAAGCTGTCAGCTGTAGCGCTGGATTCTCTTTTGCTGCGTCTTTGCTGTTCCTCATCCTGAATGACTTCGTAAACATGAGACTGTGAAGGAGAACGCTGATGTTAGGGCAAACTGCCTCGACACCAACCAAAGGTGAAGCTTATTTTTGGCACTTTTGTTTTGAAAGTGTTTCCTCTTACCATTCTTATGCTTGACTGTTGATTTGCTGCAAACAGAGAAGGAAGTCATCAGTTGCTCTGGTAATGTACTCTCGAATCATACAGTGGTTGCATTGTGGTTGCCTGATTCCTCAATCAGATTCATTACCTGCATTCGTGTTGTGCACCCTCTTCATGTGCATGCAGAGTCCAGCGGCAGCGGCAACCACCAGGAGGCCGAGAGGGAGGCCTATCCACGCAGGGGTTTGCAGAGCTGAGGGGTGTCAAATTATTAGAATTTTCCCTCAGAAACAAAGGTGCAAGTTCACCTGATAAAAGGCAACAAACAACAAACTTACGGTTAACGGAGCGCCACTTCTTTGATGCCATCAGAGCTCCTTCTCTGTGCACAGAACAGGTTATCTCATGTGACCAGTCTGGCAGAAACAGCTTCTTTATCAAAGTGTTGTTGGCTTTTATTAATCCGCTCTGCCAGCCTTTTAGTACGCCTCCAGAAAAAGTTAAATTGAAGTCTGTTTCACATTCTGTAGCGCAGGTGAGCACACAAGTCAAGGTGAGATTATCCCCTCCTGGCCCGGACTCTGCAGTAACTATAAAGACAAAGAAGCATTTTAGTCGCTGAAAGTCTGACAGCTTAGGTTCTGTTTGGGCATTTCCACACTCACCGTCAAGGGTGTGCAGCCTGTATTTGCTGAGCGCCCTCTGCTGGCCGGTGGACTCTGAACACCGGTAGTCCCCAGCATGCACTGCGCTCACTTTACCGATAACAAATGACGAGTCTTTGTTGGCGTTGGTTTGGAGGTCATCAGGTGAAATGTCACGCCACTGCCGCTCTACGCACATCGCCCACTGTGTGCAGCCTCCTAACCCAAGACAGGAAGTGTTGCTACATTTGAGTGACACTGACTCACCGACTGCAGCGAACACTTCCTCGAGGCCATCTGGGGGAAAGGGAGCACCGGTTACACTTGGCCACATGCTAATCTTTCATTTAGTGTAAATGCAGTTTTAGTACCTTCCACTGTTGTCGTGTAGCTGATGGTGGCTTTAACCACATCACTCTGACTCAGCTGACACGTCCATTTCCTGTGGTGGTCCGTGGGTTTTTTCTTGATGAGCAGTTTAGAGAAGCAGGCAGACGGATTATCAAATTCAAATCTGTTTCCTTCAATCGGTGTGCCGTCCTCATTGCTCCACTCGATATGTATCCCAGTGCTGTTGTCACAGGCCACGTATCCTATAAACATATTAAGGAAACACTGGAGCTCTATCGTGTCCTCTGCAGAAGTTTGCTTCTCAGTAACTGGGGAATGAAAAAAAAAAAAAGACTATTGTGACATTTCCATTAAGTGTTACAACATTATTTGTCAAAGCCTTGTCTGCTTCGCTATGTGATCACTGTCTTTATTGTTATTTGTTAACCTGAAACTGAAAGGTTCTGGAAACATGTAGAATATTGATTACAAGATTTATTCTCAGGGAAACATACAGGTGTAGAAATGTTCTGTGATTAACTGCCGTGTAGGGAATACTTTGAGCAAAGTTTATTCCACATCGCTTTTGTCATGCGTTTTTCTACGAGTAAAAACATAAATGTTTGACAAAAACACTAGTTAATTAAAATGTACACTAACAAGTCTAAGTATTAACTGGGGGGTTTTACTGGTGGTTTCTTTTGGTTAAAAATGTTACCTTTTAATGGTGGTTTTCAATTAAAATGCATAGATGTATTTATTTTTTTCATAATTTAAGCCACAAATCCCCGCTTCAGTAACACTTACATACACTAAATTTTCAAGTTTTATTCTTGTATGTATTTCAAAGGATTTTACAGAGAGGATATCCCCGTATATCAGTCACAGAAGAAGAAAAAGAAAAGAAAAAAAGAACATTTTATTCTTTTTAAGCTGACTCTGACTCCAATGTTCAGATTTCTGTTCTGGAAGTTTATGCAAATATGTACAATTTTAACAAGATAATACCGTATTTGCGTATTTTAAATTTCTATAAAACTTGCAAAACAAAAATTAATTGTCTTATAGTAAGTAATCGACTGGCGATATCAGATGGTGATATCTTTTAGATCACAGTGACAGTTGTGTATCTTATTTAGATTCTTAAAAAAAAATAATAAATCCAATTGGGCATGTTTTAAATTAAATTCGGGAGTAATAAAAATAAAATTTCACTCTTACGAAACAGGCAGAAATAGTATGAAGGAATCAATGTGTGCACTTACTTGTAGGAATCTGAAGCAAAACACTTGAATTGAGCGCTCCACTGTCACAAGAGTAAAGTCGGGCATCATTGAGTTCCAGGTGAGTAATCTCCAGAGAGCAGTCCTTCAGCAGCCCATATCTGTGGCTGATCACTCTTCCAGCCTTCACCAGCTCAGTAACCGATCCAAACTCTCCACCAATGGTCCAGTTAATGGAGGAGCAGGATTTAAAAGAGGCCGTACCACATGGCAAAGCAATACTATCTCCTTGTAAGGCAACCAAATAATCTGTTGACGAATTTAAAAAAAAATAAAAAATCTATTTCATTTTCTAATATAACTGACTTTCTAAAACAATATTTATTTTAACACTGAAAAAATAGCACCCACATAGACCTGAGCAGCTTTCAATCCTGCATCAAGGTTTGAATTAACTGCTGAGTTCACTTGTTTTTTTCATACCATAATTGATATTAGTGTGTTTTAGCTTTTAGCTTGTGCAACAATATGAGCTAGAAACTACTTGTATTAATATTGGAGAACAACAAGTATTCTCTAACAGCTCCTTACCACAATCCACAGTCAGAAATATAAATACTGAACAGGTGTGCGTATCATTATGTGTGTGTGCATTTTATACGTGATGTACGTTTTCATAATTACCATTTGAGTGAAGTCCAGCTGCTGCTGCTGCCCGTGTAAGACAAATGAAACAGAGTCCTAACAATGAAAGGGAACTCATCCTTCTCTCAAAACATGCCTCCTTGCTTCTTGCTAAATCGCCTGACAGCACAAGTTTTTCAAAAACTCATTTTCAGGAAATGACATGAGGCCTCGGATTTCTACTTTAAGACCGTCCCATGACAGAAACCTATATTTGTCGGTCACACTTTACTTATATGGCAGTTTTCACACATACAGATCGTACCATGATATGGGGGGGAGGAAAGAAAGAGAGACAAAGGGCAAAAACCTATGTTTATGTTCTCACTTCTGCTACTCAGTGGTGAGAGTGTATGGTGTGTGTGTGTGTGTGTGGGTGTATGTATATATGTATATATCGGGGGGGTCCAGTCCTGGTCCTCGAGGGCCACTATCCTGCATGTTATACGTTTCCCTCTTCCAACACACCTGATTCAAATGATCAGGATCGTTATCAGGCTTCTGCAGAGCTTGATGATGAGCTGATCATTTCAATCAGGTGTGTTGGAAGAGAGAAACATCTAAAACATGCAGGATGGTGGCCCTCGAGGACCAGGATGGGACACCCCCTGGTATATATGGAGGGTGGGGAGGGACGGATTTTCTTGTTTTTAATATTTTTAATGGTTGTAAAGTACTTTGTGTTGCTTTATTTGTATGAAAAGTGTTATACAAATAAAGTTTGACTTGTACACTTATGGCCACTGTACAAATGAATGCTTTATGTGTACTGTTTGTTAAAATGTTTGTCAGAGGTTTAAGTCACCATAACTTCAATATCCACTGTTATTTATCATTTAATGGTAATTAAAGTGGGAAATTCAAACACTTTTTTTTACAAAATACCTCCAGTCATCTAATATTGAGGATGATTAAAAAAAGAAAAACAGAAAGTGAGTTCTGTTGCTTCCTACTGAATTTTCAGTGTTTGCCCACTGGGCGGTGCTGTTTGACCCAATGAGAAACACTCCTCCTGTTGCAAAATTATGAGTAGTTTCACTTTACAGGACTCTGGACACACCAGACACATTCTGAATTAGATTTGATTCACACGCAGCTCCACATAAATGACAAATGACTCTACAAAAATCTCCAAATTTCACTGTCAAAGACTAACAAGTCTTGATTTTAGACAATGAGCAAGCAAACCAACGTTTAATCAGGATGCATCAAAGAGAAAGATAACGAAGCTAAATGTACATGCAAAGTTCTGTCATACTAACTGATACACAACATGTAATCAAGCCGCTGCATCTCAGGGATTAGTCACAGGCCTCGGACGTGCCACAACTTCGTAGGACTTGACCTTGAGCACAACGCTGGCGACTCCTCTCAGGTCAGGCAGGGAGGCTTTGCTCTCAGCAGGGACGAACTGGAAATCTCTCAGCAAGTAAGCGGTGAACAGAAAGAGCTCCATCTTGGCGACAGATTCTCCCAGGCAGAGCCGAGCCCCACCTCCGAAAGGGATCAGAGCCCGGGTGGAGCCTCCTCCTCCTTTCAGGAAACGCTCTGAAAGAGAGAAAGAGAGAGAGGAAGAGTAGCTACTTCATCTGCTGGGCCAAGTGGAAGGAATGCACCTCACCCAGCACAAGGAGCAGTTACCTGGTTTGAAGCTGTATGGGTCAGGATAAACTGCAGGATCGTGGTGAGCTCCGAAAAGGTTCGGAATGATGACCGTGTTCTTAGGGATGAAGTAACCTGCGATACTGAACATGAAATTATGCAAAGCTGAAACAGTGTTCTTGAGTAATATTCTTCAAAAAATATCGAGAACAACAAAAAATTCTGTTCTTTCAAACAAGTGGATTTAGTCTATAAATGCATGAATGTGGTGATATAATTGATCTGTGAATTTTGGACCTATGGGTTGCTCCTATCTGCATGCCTACATCATGGCTCCACATGGAAAACAATTACTAGAGGAGCTGAAAAATCTGAGTGTGAGACTCACAACAATGGGAAAGAATACTGGAAGATCTGTGACCAACAAAACATCTGTTGAAACAGTTGCAGCAGTAATCAGGAGATACTGAGCGAGCCATAGTACCACTAATCAGACTCCACAGACTAACTGATCCAACTCTAAAGAAAAACTCTCATAGAATTGGCACAGGGGTTGTCAATGGAAATCAGAGTTTCTCTGGCATATAAGAAAGCGTGAAGGACATTGCATTGCATCGCCCTCTAGTGTCCTGAGAAAAAAAACACCCAGGCTTGCTGTTTGGCACAAAACATAGACTGTATAAAAGATGGACGTAGCAACTGGCCCTGAAAAATGAAGCCAACCCGGAGTGTCAAAAACCTGCAATATCACTACGTCCGCTAGTCCTGGCTCCAAAAAGCCCTGGCTCCCATAGAAATGAATTGGAAAAGAAGTGATCACAGATCATGAAATACTGCATTCCTACAGCTCAGGATTTTTT